AAACTAATTTCGAGGCGCGCAGCGCACAAACAATCGGTTTCGCAACAAAGCGTCGAACTTAACAATCGTGCAGCGACGTGATGAAAAACAATTAAAATGAATCTGGCCTCTTACTGCCGCCTCTGGCAACGGGCTGCACTCGGAATCATAAGGAGACGAGTTTGAAAGCACGGGTGGGCATCGGACTGAGCCCTCGCCCACCGGCAGCTGAAGCGTCTTCGGCTACAACACCGAAGGAACGTGGCCGTGCACGGCAGGCTACGTACGGTGCGAAACAAGTCCGGCGTACACGCGCACATTGCCATCGCCGGCTCAGGGCTGCGAGCAGAGAAGAGCACCAGGCCAGGAAGATTCTGGACCAAGATTTATTTATTTTCAAAAGGCAGCGGACAGCTGAATCCGAACCGATCCCGGGACCCTCCAGCCCTTCGAGAATCTGCAATGGCCAGTGAGGCGAGGTACACCATGGGTGGAGGACTGACAAAGATCTGCAAGTTATTGTTGTTTTAATTATTAGGGGGTCGTCCATAAATGACGTCACGCGATTTTGGACGATTTTTGACCCCGCCCTCCTTCGTCACACGGCGTCACAAAAAGTCAGACCCCCCCCCCTCAAATATGACGTCACAAAGCTCTGCCCCCCCCCTCCCCAAATATATAAAACATGCTTCAAATCGCTTTAAACTATTGTCATTGTAGTGCGTATTTAATGTGGCGCTCCACTGATGTTGTAGGAGAAAACATTTATTAAAAAGTCTATTTAATTAAGTAGAACGTGTTGTCTATATTTATTTAAAGTTGCGCATTTTGATGTGACGTCACATTTCTCGCCCCCCCCCCCCCCCCTCGTCACACATCATCACAAATGTCTGACCTCCCCCCCTAGGTGCGTGACGTCATTTATGGACGGCCCCTTAGGTTAGTAAAAATAATGTCAGGGATGCGTTTTGGTTTATTCCTGGCCCTGAGAGATAACGAAGCCTCGTGTTGTTTCAGTTGATCAGTCCAACGAGGCACCAACTTTATATTCCCGTACGTAAAACTAACAAAAATTACTTGTAACACTGTCTCAGCTATCCCAGTCAGCATTTCATAACTCTCAAACGACAAACCACACGCACACACATTCAGACAGGCAGATTGTATATATTAAAAATAATTTCCATTGTCCCTCGAGTAGTTGTTATTCGGTAGAAGAGAAGGAATTCGCATGTTTTCTGTTTGTTCCGCGGTAGTTGACAAATCAAGTGGAACACGTGGCACACATGGCAAGGGCGGCAGGGTTTCTGGCGCAGGGATCAGAAAATCCCACAGGGGACATTTCGCTTGCCAAACAGACATACACGCACATAGGTGCCGTGACTCTGAAATCCTAATTAAGCATTGCTATATGGTTTTAATATAATTATTTTGGCTTTCCCACAGGGGGTGTTTTGTATATGTGTGTTAGTTGGTCGGCCCTAAAGGATTTATATCAGTATACTACACACACACACGTTCGCAGCGTGTGTGCATGCGTTTGTGGGACGGGGCGACGGCGGGAGCGAAGGCGCAGCGGTTAGCACGCTGAACAACGAGCCCGGCGACCCGAGTTCAATTCCAGCTCACGACCAACAACAGTGGCCAATATTTGAACCGGTCCTGAGCCTCCCCTAGGTCGACTCCGCCTCAAATTAGTACCTGGTGCGTTGTGTAAACATCGCCCACGAGGGAGACAAAGGTCGTGGTGCTTGCTGGCCACACCAACCCCTCGTGCGCCCTCCCAGGCTTACTTGGCACATGATAAAAAGGCACTTGCCCCAAAAAGTGTATTTTAGGTTACACCGGGGATCTTTGTGTGTGTATTTCAACGTCAACTCCAAAGTTCTCCTCCTGCTACTGTGAGCAATGGGATGTGCTCATCAGCAATTAGGGCTCCGAACCAATGCTGGAAATATCACATTCCTTCTGCAGAGGCCAGTCTCGTCTTACCGATGTGCTGAGCTGACCCTCAACCGGGATTTGAACTCTGCTTTCTGAGTCGACAGCTGTAACCGGCTACGCCATCCGATTTCGAACGCCCCCTTATTGCATTCTTCTGCACAGGCGACTGAATATTGTGAAAGCAGTGGCTCACAGAAGTAGGCCTGATGACGCGGGGAAGTGATGAGAAGGAAACTGCCACGATTTGGACACGCATGCAGGGTGGGAAGGAACCGGAAAGAGGAGCACGACCTCACAGGGGGACGGCTTGACGATGACGACAGAGATTTGGCGCCAGAAGGACGTGGCCACTACTTGAGGAGACTGACACCAAGACGGAGGAGAGTGGCAACGAAATGACGGACTGTGCAGCCGACACCCACACTGATGGGCTATCTGCCTGCGTCGTGCTTAGTGGCTCCATATACCCCACAGAGGAGGGGAGATAGCACGCGGTGGCGGCGGCGGCGGCACGCATCAGGAGGGCATTCAAACGCGTAATGAGTGCACCGAGATTCGGAGGAGGCGTGCGAGGGCTGTGAAATAAAATGTAGTTTTCTTGACGATATTCTGTCCGGGGTATCTCTAATGGGATCAGCGTTGTACGACGAGGCAAACGTAAAGGAGTGGGCCCCCAAAAAGCCGGGACACAGAGGGTTATTGCATTTATTTGAACGCTGGCATTAACCCTACGAGTGCTTGACCTTTTCGGGCCACCCTGCATAAGAACAACACACAGTGGCCCTTCCATTATCGCGCAAATTGCCCCGCATGGAACGTTCGCTTACAAATCGTTACACCGTGTAGGTCGTGAGTTTTTTAGGGCTGGGATGGGGGAGGAGGGGGCGGGGGGAGAGGGGGGGGAGTTGGTGTGAATCCTCTCCTCTCCGCCACAACGGCGCGATCCTCTAAGGAAATGGGAAACAAACGGACGTGATTCTCGACGCTCGGCTCACCGCACGCTCCGCGTCTTGAACCTCACGCCCCTCTCGTCGCGTTCGAGAGGAGAGACAGAGGTTGGGGGGAGGGGGGGCGGAGGGGGGTGTGGGAGCCGTCGACAATTCCAGCGCGCCGCCCGCGAAAATTCCATTTGTTTATGTCGAGGCCGTGAGCGACGCTAATTTTCCACGGCTCTCTGAATGTCGCCAAAAGCTGCCACGCTCTCTTAATGAGAGGCGGCCCTCCAGCTATTAATTAGCGATGCGGCGTCAAGCTGGTGGGATGCGCGGTGGGGGGGGGGGGGGGGGGGGGAGTCAGTCGAGAATGATGTTTAACCTTTGCTGCAGCCTACGTGCCATGCTCCTGGGACTGGCAACACGGCGTCGGAGGGCTTCGGAGAACGAGCGAGTGAGTGAGCGAGTGAGCGAGTGAGCGCAGCGGAGTGCTTTTAGAGAAAGGGCACCATCTTCAAATCTCTCTCCTACCTGGGGACCCCCCCCCCCCACACCACCCCCTCCTAAGCCGAGCGATTCGATGATTCTGCAGCGGCGGCAAGCTGCCGAGTGGTGTGTGTGGGCGGTGCAATTGCACGGGTGACCCGCGGGCAGGGGAGAGCCCCAGACGCACCCCTCTCCCTGGGGCGCGGGGAGGGGGGGACTATTGTTTGCCAAGTTGCTCGTTTTGCCTCAAACTCGGTTCTAAAGTGCAGCGAGCCGATGGTTCATTCGTCACCAATGACTGCGCATTCTCTACAGACAATGCAAACGAAAAACTATTTTTTTATGTTACCAGGTAAGGCCCGCCAAGCGACGCAGCTCTTTTTCAGAAGCGACCTGACCACAAATGATAGCGCAATGAAGTTGGCTTATCACGTGGAAATGTACTGCAGCAAAATATTCTAAATGCATGTTGACCCGGGAGAAAAATCCACGTTGACCACGGGGAGAGAGAGAGAGAGAGAAACATGCAAACTCCAAATATACAGCAGGCGTCAGGGTTTGGATCGAGCTCAAAACCTCCTGTATACTAGGTGAGGTATTTAACATCTCACCACCGTATCATGGTTTACTTTGGTAGATCCGGACAGAAGTTTCGGGCTGGGAGGGATTCGAACCAGTGGCTCCAAGGCTAACTGGCTCAATGGGCTCCTCAGCTGCCCAGGATCAAAGCCAACAACAACGCCACCATTGTGATGGTGACGATGAGAATCATGATGATGATGATGGAAAGGATCAGGGGCGGAGCCAGGATTTCAGGCCGGGGTGACATTCAACAAATTTTAATTTCAAGAATGATTAGAGAGTCAGGCTGTTGAACTAGACGCCATCGGTTGGCGACACACTCTGACAACGCAGTTGTACGGAGTCCGCCAGACCGAGTGTCGTACACTTACACGCAGAATGTCACCCCTGTCACCCGCCCTGGCTCCGCCCCTGGAAAGGATGATACGTTGATTTCCTGACGGGAGAAATGATCATGATGATGACAGTGACGCTGAATGAATTTGACAAGGACAGGGATACTGCTGATGCTGCTGATGCTGCTGTTGGACCTCATGACAGCTGCTGAGGATGCTCATTTTAGTGACGGAATTTATGGCGCGAATGACAATGCCAGAAGTAATGATGCCACTGCTGCTGCTGTTGCTGCTGCTGCATTGATGATGATGATGGCTTTCTAAGTTCCCAATAGGAGCATTATTATGATAACTCTGAACATCTCTTAATTTGTTTATTAATTTTTGATTTTGCTTGTGTGTTGGGATTCTTTCGTGCCGTGCGTAGCCAACCACGTATATGGGATTTGGACCTTATATATATAATTAACTATAACGTTGTGGGTTGCTGCTGGCATGAATTCCGCTATATAAAACGAAAGTATTATTATTCACAAAAGAAAATTCTATTTACGGCGACGCAAAAAAAATCGCCCTGCTGCTGCTCCTGGTGAAGACGACCGACGATATCAATGCGACGACGACGATCGTGACGACGACGATCGTGACGACGACGATCGTGACGACGACGATCGTGACGACGACGACTACGATAAGAACGACCGCGGCATCGACGTTCACCGCGCCCACGGCCACCACTCACAGATGTAGTAGTACTCCTGGCCGGGGAAAAACTCGAACCCCAGCGAGAAGGGAGTGAAGCGCAGGAACTTCTCGGAGAAGCGCTGGGCGCCCGCCTGCCCGTACGGCTTGTTGCAGTTCCAGCGCATGAAGCCGCTGGCGTGGTCACATGACCGGTAGCCGTCGTAGCTGACCAGGTAGAGCGAGTAGCGCTCCGTGCGCTCCTCCGGGGTGGTGCGAGCGTCCGAGTAGTGCGGGCAGTACACGTCCAGGTAGTCGTTGATCTGCACGTCCAGGCTGTAGTCGTCCCTTTGGAACCTGCGTCATAGCGGGAGGGGGGGGGGGGCGGTGTAGAGGGTTGGGGGGGGGGGGGGACAGGGGAGAGCGAGATGAGTGAACTGCACATCTCGAAAAAGTGGGGAATGTACGGATGTTGAACTTCTTTCGCAACCGTACGTCGCCAAACACGTCGTCGATTCAACTCGGCTTCGCGATAAATTTCCTTCGCATCCCGGGAAAACGTCGAGACCTCATTCAAAGGCCGCAGGAGAAAGAGACAGCGAGAGAGAAGAAACGCACGCGGCAAAGCGCCTCCGATGGAGAAGATACAAGAAGCACAGACTCTGTTGGCCTTGGGCAGAGAGTACCAAGGACGGAGGAGGCCGATTGCCTCGCCATTGCTGGCCACGTGGACGGACCCCAGAGGAGCTCAACGGAGACAAGTGGCACTGCGGGAAGCGACCGGCCGTGGCCAGAGACTGGATCGCGTGGAGACATTTCAACCCAACATCATCAGCCACCGCCTGTTGATGGCCGGCCGGCGGACGAGAAGGCGGCAAACCAATTGGTTTGTAAAGTTGGTTTGTACTGATTGACCACTCCCCTCCCCAACCACCTCCACCACAACCGCCACCACCACAACTGCCGCCAGCACCAGCACCACGAGCACCAGGACAAAATACAAAGGTCCCCCGCATAGCCTTGACAGACTGCTGGGGAAAGTGCTGTAGGACGAGTAGCACCTGTGAAGGCCGCAACGACTAGCACGGTTGGCTTACGTACGGTGCGAAAGAAGTTCAGTTCCAGTTCAACGGCACTCGAGGGGGCGGGTGGTTCAGCACCATGCCCCGGCCGCCTTTGTCTCCCTAGTGGCGATGTTTACACGCCGCACCAGGTACTCATTTGAGGCTGAGACTACCAGCACTAGCAGCACCAAATATTTGACGAATTGTTACGATTAATATTCAAGAACCGCTTATTTTTTTTTGTGTTTGTTGCTTCAATCGCGACGACAGTTCCGAGCAGTGGTTCTTAACCTGGGGTGCGAGATGCCCTTTCTGGGTGTGCGAGACGTGGCCAGATTTGTTTTCATCGAAACACAAATTAAGCATGGGCACCAGTGCCGGATTATCGTAGCAGCAAAAGTATCTGCATATGTTACGGTGTCCGCAATTTCAAGGGCCCCCGCGCTAAATGCTTTCAAGCTGTGAATTCCGTATTCTTGGTGCTTTCGGTAAATTCACGTGACTTTACCGATAGAACCAAGAAAATGAATTCCTGCAGTCACGAAAGTTTTAACTCAAAATCTATCAATTCCGGTTCAGTGATTCTGCACTTGCTCTATTACTATAGTACTATACTGCCTTTTATGAACGACTGGGTGTTTAAGGTTAGCGATTTGTCGTATTATCTGGCTGTATAGCAAATGAAAAAATACAATTACTTTACTATGCAAGTTAAAAATTGGTGTTTTAATATTACGTGGTATTTTTTTAGTTAGGGCCCCTTTATAACATATGCGACATGCTCCGCACTAGCTTCATCCGGCACTGATGTGCACATAAGTACATCTGCTTTGTTTCACCAAGCCTATGTATTAACATTATACAGTAAAACCATGGATTGCGGGTAACTTGGTCTGCGAGTGTTTTGCAAGACGAGAAAAATTAAAAAATAAATATGAATTTGATAAACGAGCGAGGTCTTGCAATACGAGTAGTAGTACGTAGTATACACTTTGTTAATAAAGGCTTTTGGGTTAGATCGCGTTACTTATAAATGTGTCGTAACCCTCCACCACCCGACACGGCCAATCAGCAAAAAAAAGTGTCACGTTGACAAAAGACAAATAATTCACTACTTTAGCCCACCGATGTGTTGAAGAGTGAATCCACTTTTACAGTTTGAGTACGACGTTTCGCTGGTAATTACATCCAGCATCATCGGGCAATTCGCCAGAATGGTAAAGCCCTCGCTTGCTCCCGGTTTTATATAGAGTAGCAGGGTGACGTCATCACTTAACTCATATCAGGTGCAGTGATTTGAGGCGGAGGGGGGTATTGTAATTATGTAATCGATTAGTAATCAGTCAATGGTTATGATTAGTAATGAGTTGTAGATTAGTAATTAGTTGTATTGTGTGTTAGTGATTATATGCTCAAACTGTAAATGTTGTGGATTCACTCTTCAACACACCGGTGGGCTAAAGTAGTGAACTAATTGTCTTTTGTCAACGTGACACTTTTTTGCTGATTGGCCGTGTCGGGTGGTGGAGGGTTACGACACATTTATAAATAACGCGATCTAACCCAAAAGCCTTTATTATGAATAATATTGGTCGCGAAAGCCTACGTGTTAAACTGAGTATACACTTTGTCTGCCGAGCGTCACGTGATCACAACTGATATGACGAGTGCCTTGATATACGAGTGATTTGGATTACAAACACGTTTCCGGAACGAATTATGCTCGCAATCCAAGGTTTTACTGTACATTGTTTTACGATGTACTGTGGCTAAGAACCGCTGGGGCAGAGGCACCACGGTATATGTTGTCTGTCGTAAGGCGGTGATGATGATGGCGGCTGGCTTCCAGTGCCTTGCGGGCGCATCCACAGTTAAATAGTCACCTGTTGGACGATCGTTCTGACTGACCACAAAGAAGAGACGAGAAGCTGTGAGCTCTCAGCAGTCGAGGGGACAAACAAAGAGTTGTATCAGGTGGGGATTAAAGCCTTGGAACATTAATGATGATGCTGACGCTCATGATGATGGATCAAGTGCGCTGCTGCACGTCAAAGGGACCATACAGGGAATTGACACAGCCTAGGCAAGGCCACTCATTGTGTTCTATGTTCGGCAATGGGACCTTTCAATCAAACATCGTGCACACACGCGTGCGTGCGTGCGCGCGTGTGTGCACGTGATTACGATTACACACGCATTTAGTGTAGCGGTTAGCGAGCACCGCCACGAACCCCGTCGACCCGAGCTCGATTCCCGCACACGACCAACACCGGTGACGATGATCGGAACCTGTCCTGGGCGTCCCTGAGATCGACTCGGCCTCAAACGAGTACCTGGTGCGGTGCGCAAACATCGCCACTAGGGAGACAAAGGCGGCCGGACGTGGTGCTGGTCACCCACCCCTTCGTGCGCCGTGCCGGCCTTCGTAGGCGCTGCCTCGTCACCAGCACTCGCCCCAACAGTCTGTTGCAGGCTCCACGGGGGATCTCTGCCTCTGCCTATTGTGCAAGTGCGCGTAAGTGCCGCGCTCAAAGGGCTCTCGGCATTACGATCGGGGCACAGGGATCGTGGCAGAGCGTCGGCCCAGGCAGGACATGGCCATGGGCCAGATAAGCCCCATTACAGCGGGGCCTTGGAACAAAAAGGGGGGGGGGGTGTGCGGAGTTCGATGCTACAAACAATTTGCGCCGCGGGCTAACGAGGGCAATTATGTAAATGTGAAGAATATTCACCGCGGTCAATGAGGTCGCCGCGAGCAAGCGGCGGGATCGAGCGCGCCGCGTGGAAGACGCAGCCTCAATTCGCCGCTCTCCGATGATACTCTATGCGGGAAAAATAACCAAGCGGGGGGAGGGGGGAGTGGTTGTCCTATGGATATACTGGGCCCTGTCGTAGGAACGGGGAATTCCCACGGCCGGCCCGGCTCATTCTCCGTCTGCCGTCGCGCGACTCCCCCGTGGATAGCGGCGGCGTCATATTTAGGACGAATCTTATTTGTTGTTGATGACTTATTTGTTGTTGATAACTTTTGTTTGTGCTTTTTGTTCCGGTGCCATTTCTTAATTTTTTTAATTATTTTTTTTCGCTTAGTAGCGAGGGTTTTCATTTGTTTTGTAGTGGCTGCACATGGGATTACGTCCCTTAAAAATATGAAATAAATTGACAGCGTTGTGGGATGCTATTAGCATGAATGTAATAAAAGTTATATTATTTTTACATCTTCAGGGGGATTGGGTCAACGGGTACAAACACGTGATCGGCTTCAAAGCAAGCCCCGAGTTGTGACCCGAGACAGGAAAGAGAAGCAGAGCGAAGGGAGGCGCGAGAGAGAGGAAGACAGCAGAGAGCTGAGAAATATAAGACGACTAAGAAGGATAGAAAGAAAGAAAGAAGGGAGATTTGGCGGACGATGACATCGCGACTTGAAGGTTCGCGCCGCCGTGTAACGGTGTAAATGCTGCTGCTGTTGCTGCTGTTGCTCTGTACCCAGCTCGGTCTACGTGGCCCAGTGGGAGCCAACCAAAGTGTAATTTACGTGCAAGTGTGTTTTCTTAGCGATGAGCCGCTGAGATGGTGGCTCTGGGAGTTCCCTTTGGGTCTGTAAAGGGGTGAGGGGGTAGGCAGGCGGGGGGGAGGGGGGGGCACCGCTGGTGCTGAGCGGCCGATGTAGCCTGGAGGAGCGGTGGCGCAGCGGTTAGCTCGCCGACCTATGAACCCAGCGACCCAAGTTCGTTTCCCGCTCACGAGCCACCAACATCAGTCCTGTGCATCCCCCCCCCCCCCCCCCCAACTAGGTCAACTCAGCCTTACTGGTGCTGTGTGTAAACATCGCCACCCGCCTCCGCCTGTGCCGTGCCGGCCTTCATAGGTGCTCGCTAACAGCACTTGCCCCAACAGTCTGTGAAGAATATACGGGGGATCTGACTTTGTTTATATGTTGGTTCATGCATGTGCTCCTGTTGGCAAGTGTCAGTGGTCCGTGTATGTGTCTGTGCATTTCTGGGTGCACAGGTACAGGCAGACCTCGCTGAACGCTCAAGATTCTCGTTCCTGGAGAAGTGAGCACTAATCCGAATCGTTGCATATATGGGGATGCGTTTCCGACAGAGTCCAATTCACGGCCACGGCTAACATCATTGGCGAGTGGCATCTGAACCCGGACATGTGCTCCATCGCTCCTGCCGATTGGTCATGAGCTGCATTCCGCACCAACCTGAAGTCTGGTCAAACAACCCTCCAGTGCTGACACGGCGCGGACAGATCTTTATTCAGTCGGGGATTGAGAGAGGGCTT